AAAGATGTTTTCATTTTGTGATATGTGAGGTTTTTTTCACCCCTTGGGACTACTGGCTACCTTTGAACTGTGAAGGCCATCTGCCAGATTGTTAGAGATGTAATGTGCAGAAGTATCATTTAGAAGAAAAGTTTGGGTTTTTGTTTTGTGTGCTTACTGTGGCAACAAAGGTAATGGAGCTGCAATTCTACCATTGCCAAATGTTGACAGCTGGAGCCACAACCATGAAAAAATTCAGAAGAAAGGAATGCTGACAGCCTACAGAAATGAGGGTTTTAATTATATGATGATGGCTGACCAAATTAATCAATCATTTTTTTGTCATAATGTTTTTTTCAGAGATTGCTGTATCACAGTGGCAAAGATACATATATTCTAATGCTGAATGCATTTTGGAAACAGTGAGAAAGCCATTTAGCAAATTACGTTTGGTGTTGACAGAGAACCTTCCCACACTGGTGAATAAGTAGAGATATTATTTGGTTTCATGTATTTCCAAGAAAAAAAGCAGCCCCAAACCCTACAGTCCTTCCAGATTCCCCAGCTCTTCAGGTGGTCTGGTAGTGCTGTTTCTGGTAATGCTGTTTCCTTAGGTTACTTTTTAATTGCTGGTGAGTCTGAGTGACTTCAGTGCTTTTTATAATCTGTTTGATTTCTAAAAGCATGTGTATATATAAAAGCATAGCTACCAGAACTTTGGGCAAGATGACCCAAAATCTTTTCCCTGCAGCTGTCTATGACTGTGCCATTCTGACACGTTGTCGTGGCTTAACCCCAGCCTGCAGCTAAGCCTCACGCAGCCGTTCACTCACTCCCCCCTGGTGGGACTGGGGAGAGAACCAGAAGGGTAAAAGTGAGAAAACTCATAAGTTGAGATAAAGGCAGTTTAACAGGGAAAGCAAAAGCCATGCACGCAAGCAAAGTAAACCAAGGAATCCATTCCCTGCTTCCCATGGGCAGGCAGGTGTTCAGCCATCTCCAGGAAAGCAGGGCTCCATCATGCGTAACGGTGACGTGGGCAGACAACCACCATCACTCTGAGTGTCTTCCCCCTTCCTCCTTCTTCCTCCAGCTTTACATGCTGAGCATGATGTCATGTGGTGTGGGATATCCCTGGGGTCACTTGGGGTCAGCTGTCCTGGCTGTGCCCCCTCCCAGCTTCTGGTGCCCTGGCAGAGCAGGGGAAGCTGAAAGCCCCTGCCTGGTGTAAGCCCTGCCCAGCCACAACTAAAGCATCAGTGTGTGATCAACATTCTTCTCATCCTAAATCCAAAACACAGCACTATGCCAGCTACTAGGAAGAAAATGAATTCTGTCTCAGCCGGAACCAGGACACATGTACTGAGCAACATGATGCAACGGGGCTCTGTCTTGCAAACCCACTGTGCCGTCTTGCTGTCGAGCAGTGTAGGGCCACTGTGCTGTCCTGGAGGAGCAGGGCAGCGTGGGCAGGGGGCAGGCAGCCTCAGGGCAGTGGGGTGGTCTTGTGCTTGAAGGGGTCTGCAGGGATGCTCAGGCGGGCTTCCAGGTGATGATTTCTAGTGCATCCCAGCACAAGTGGCATGCTGCCTCCAATTTGAGCTATGCTAGGTCACAACCACAATGCTGCTGTTGTTTCCAGTTGGCAGAGACCTTGTTTTGTGGTGAGATTCCTCAGAAAAGCAAGCTCTCACTAAAGATAAACAGAAACTGCAAGTAAGGGGTAAACCGAGCAGGTCTAACCAGAGTGGATGGTAACTCCCAGTGAAAAGAGAGATAAGAAAAGGCCATTTGGTCTAGATAAGTTTGGGACATGCTGAAAAACAAGAGGTGCTCTGTCATTTGGAATGGAAGCTCTCGCTACCATCAAAGAAGTTTCATTCATTCTCCCACTCTGCTGCTTGTGTAACTGACCAGAGCGTGCTGTCATTGCTACCTTTTTCTGTTTGGTTTTTGGTATTTGAAGTGCCAGATTAGCAGGAGACCTCAGGAAATAGCCCCAAGGTAGCGAAGACGAGTCCTCTTGAGTTTGTGGCTGGAGCAGTGCCTCATGACCACAAGCAACTCAAGAGCGCGTTCGTTGCATGATGTTGTGACACGTTATTGGCTGGCTTAGCCGAGCAAGTATATTCTTGAACATAATGTATGTGTAAGCATTTTAAGTGCCCCATTAATGAGGCTGCTTGAGTGATAAGCTCACTACATTCTCGGACTTCAGTCATTATGGTTTTTCTGCCTTAAATGTACTTAAACGCGGTGTCTTACGATACACTCCGCGTCTTTCAGTGCGTACCCAGAAGCTGCAACAACCCCGGCGAGGGGAGAAGGCTCCGGCGG